GATGACCTTGCTGAAGAAGGCCCAGGTAGAGTCAAAGGCTAAAGGAAATTGGATCCCAGAAGCTGCTCCTACTCAAAAGTCCTTGAAATTTTGACATTCTTGAGACCAGAACCCATATTTCCTGACTGGGAACACTACCGCTGGCTTGCCATAGGTTGTTCACCCTATCTAAGTCTTGAGTGGATGAGCACATTGTTGTTGTTGTTGTTATGTGCCAACCCTGCTTGGGTTTCCGATGCAGTATCACTAGGGAAGTAGATCACCCAACCTTCCTTCTAGGTGTGGCTGATGGGTTTGAATCTCCAGCCTTCTGGTTAGCAGTCAAGTGCCTTAGGCACTATGCCACCAAAGCTCCTGATGAGCACATTGTTGTTGTTGTTATGTGCCGTCGAGTCGGCCCCAACTCATAGCGACCCCTCCTTGGGTTTCTGAGGCAGTATCACTATGGAAGTAGGATTGCCCAACCCTCCTTCTGAGGAGTGGCTGGTGGGTTTGAACCGCCAGCCTTCTGGTTAGCAGTCAAGTGCTTTAACCACTATGCTACCAGAGCTCCTGATGAGCATATTAGTAATTTTAATTTATGAAGATGGCACAGGCATTACTTTCTGATATTTTTCTCCTGAGCAAATAAAAGTATGTCAGAAGTAAATTTCTCTTACTACTTGCACCTCTGCATCTGAGTGAACTATTTAATAGCTAACATTTAAGGAAAGGAGGTCTGGTGATGTAGTGGTTAAGGCATTTGGCTGCTAATCAAAAGGTTGGTGGTTTGAATGCACCAGCCACTCCACAGGAGAAAGCAGCAGCAGTCTGCTGCCTTAAAGATTGACACCCTTGGAAACCCTGTGGGGCAGTTCTACTCTGTCCTATTAGGTGGTTTTATGGACTTCTTCCACTGTGCCAAGCCCTACATAATTCAGTCAATCTCTGGTCCCTATTGCATGGGCTTTAAAGCATCAAGTGTTTGTCCTCTCCCTGCATAGACTGAATCTTGATGGAATTTTAGAACTGGGAGAGCCCTCAGAGAGCATCTTATCTTGTTTCACAAAAAGTAAACCAAGGCCCTGGGACATTGTAGAGTCCCACAACATTACTAGTGAAGAAGCTGGAATATCTTGATTGTGTCCACTTTGCGCTATGCCATCTGCCCTTCTATTTTATAATATCAGGATCTGTGCCAATCTGTCCTATGTATCACCAAGAGAGCTATTTGGATATGTGCTGGCACCTGAGAGAAATCATTAAGGTGGAAAGGCAGAGGTGCTATCAGACACAGCTAAAAATAGGTCCCTTCCCAAGACCAAATTGGGCTAGTGAGATTGTACTGATACAAGGGACTTTCACTGAGCTCACCTGATAGTCCACCTGTCCTGCTAGGAGGATGGTCACCCTGGCCACCTCAGAATCAGGTAGGCTGATAAAACAGCTACACAGCTGAATCTGCTCAAGTGGCTCACTGGTGGAAAAAAAAAATCCGTTTTTGTAACACCAGCCTACTGTGAGTAGAAAGAGTAGGAAGTCTCTCCTCTTGAACCCAAAATACTTGCCCAACTGGCCTGCTGGGGGATGCCTGGAATCTTTCCATTATGAAGGAGTTCAGAGGTCTAATGGAAACCTGGAAATTATCTAATTCACCTGCCGTAGTATAGATATGAGAAAAATAAGGCCCAGAGAAGTTAAACAACTTAACCAAGGGCCAAGGGCCTAGTCTAGAATTTCCCAAAGTAGAATCCATGAAATATAAGGAATATTATAAGTCTGCAGTATGGATTACATCTCAACATAGAGAAAACAAAAATCCTCACAACTGGACCAATGAGCAGCATCACAATAAATGGAGAGAAGATTGAGGTTGTCAAGGAATTCATGTTGCTTGGTTCTACAATCGATGCCAATGGAAGCAGCAGTCAGGACATTAGACGATGTGTAGCATTGGGGAAGTCAACTGCGAAGGAACTGTTTCAAGTGCTGAGGAGCAAGGATATCTCCTTGAGGACTAAGGTGCGCCTGACACAAGCCATGATATTTCCAATCGCCTGGTATGCATGTGAGAGCTGGACAATGAATAGGGAAGACCGAAGAAGAGTTGATGCTTTTGAGTTGTGGTGCTGGCGAAGAATGCTGAAAGTACCGTGGACTGCTAAAAGAACTAACAGATCTGTCCTGGAGGAAGTGCAGCCGGAATGCTCCTTGGAAGCAAGAATGGCCAGACTTTGTCTCACCTATTTTGGTCATGTTGTAAGAAGGGACCATTCCCTGGAGAAGGATGTCATGCTTGGTAGGGTGGAGGGTCGACGAAAGAGGGGGAGGCCTTCAGGGAGATGGATTGATACAGTGGCTGCGATGATGGGCTCGAGTATAGCATGGATTGTGGGGCTGGCGCGGGATCGGGCAGTGTTTTGTTCTGCTGTGCATGGGGTCGCTATGAGTCGGAAATGACTCAACGGCACTTAACAACAACAACAACATAAGATATTCCTTGGGAGAAGGGTAAAGATAGTCTGAAGTCAGGTAATTTGGGAAATGCTGCATTCTCTATACTCATTCTATAATGAACTTTGGTGGTATAGTAGTTAAGGCATTTGGCGGCTAACCAAAAGTTTGGTGGTTTGAATCCATCAGGTGCTCTGTGGAAGAAAGCTGGGGCAGTCCGCTTCTGTAAAGAGTTATAGCCTTGGAAACTCAATGGAGATTGCTATGAGTCAGGGCCTAAGGTGCTATTATTTGTTTGTTTGTTTTATTTAACAAATACTCAGTCCCAAAATGAGGAACACATTTTAGGGATCTGGCCTAACCTGGCAATGCTGAAACCAGCCTGTGGGTCTTCAGACTTCAGGACCAAAAAGTACTTGGCTACCTCAAGTGTTAAGAACATTCTTTGAGGTTCATCATTCATAATGTTTTATTAAAATGGTAGTACTCTAGAGAGGGAGATACGTAACACACTGGTGTAGGTCAGAAACCTATGGTGTGATTTACTTATCCAACGCTTTTCTAAAAGAGCACTTATCATAATATGGTCAAATAGGTAGCCTGAGGCTACTGTCTTGAGAAAGTTAGTCCAAATAAACCAAAAAAAAAAAAAAAAAAAATTGCCATCAAGTCAATTCCAAATCATGGTGACACTATTTGTGTCAGAGTGGAAGTGCACCCCATAAAGTTTTCAGTGACTGTAATCTTATGGAAGTAGATTGCCAGGCCTTTCTTCCATGGCATCACTAGGTGGACGTGAACCATCAACCTTCTGGTTGATTTGTGCCACCTTAAAAGCACCTTAAAGGTGGCTAAAAATTAAATAGGGGTGACCAGGAATCACTGTGTCCTTGAAGAAAGGAAGAGTCAGAAGGAGGGAGCAATGGAGTAAAGGAAAATGTGGACAATCAATAAAATCATTCCTGAAGTCTTGGCAGGTTAGTCAACAGTCATCCCACTCTGAAATAGGATTCCTGCAACCCTCTTACAAATTACTCACAGCCTCACCTCCACTCCCAGAGGAAACGGTCTCTTTTGAAATTAATTCTTTTCTACAGACCTCATGTACCAAATTCCTCCCCTGGGCAATCATATAAGATCTAGCCAGGAACCTTTTCTTTAATAGAATTTCTTTTTCTTTTTTTTTTTAATTATCAGGAAAGGTTGGCTCCCCCATCAATAAAAGTGTTTCAATTAACACAGCTATCTTTTCCTTCGGGTCATTACTTTAAGTATTTGAAATTTCTACTTAAATAAGGTCACTTTCAATTTGGTAAACACTCCTAAGTCATCATATTAATCATGACCATTCACCCTAGGAATGCTGAGTAAGTAAATATAATCAAACATTAGCTAACTAACCACAAATCCACTTGAGTTTATTAATTTCTTTCTTGGCAAAGAAGCAAGAAAAGGGACCAAACCATCAGAGACATTCACGCATCATTCATTCAATAAATATTTATTATATACCATGTGCCTGGCACTGTGCTAAGCCAAATATAGGTGTCATTATTTTATAGATATACACAGCTGGGTTGTTTATGAATGTCTTAAAGAATGAAATCCTATTTTCCCAAAAATATAAATTTTAAGTCCTGAGATGCTTTATCTCCATTTCTGCTTAATGTGCCTTCTTTCATGGAATGGATGATATATCCTAATTCTTTAGCTTCCAGAATCTCCACACACACCCCAAAAGAACCCCCCATCATCTGTCATGTAGTTAATGAATAGAAACTCACAGGAGAAGTACCAGAGTAGCACTATTTTTTTTTTTTAAGTCCTAAGAGAATAAAAATGGTGAGAAAATTTTTATACTACTGCACCCTGATTTTTCAATACATTTGAGTTTTGATGTTTTGGGAGGAAGGGGAGAGGGAACAGCTTATACTTGTTCAAATGGTTTTCAAAAATACTAGTACACATATATTCTAAATGCAGATAGAGATGTATAACAACCTAGAAATAAAATATTAAAAAAGAACAACCTTATAAGAGAAGTTCCTCTTGCTTTATTTCAAAAGAGGTTCCCCCTTCTAACTTCTCTGGGAAACACCAAAACATGTCACCCCTCCAAATTCAAAACCTAAGAAGAAAACCCATACAGAGAACTGACCTTGAACAGGCCACTTTCTCATCAGTAAAAAGAGAGTCAAACTACAGACTCCCCACATGCCCTCTACAGCTACAGATGGGAGGGGTCCCATCTGACCTAACCTTTTGCCACACCTCTGTGGAGAGGTGATACAGACAGACCCAGGCCCACCCCAGCCATTCATACACATCTTGAGCAACTATACACACACACACACACACACACACTACAGGCCCCTGCCCAAGAAACCCAGTTTCCCCCCAGGGACAGCCAGCTTACCTACTGAGATATACAAAACACCCCCACACCACCCAGAAGGCAAGACAAGGAACTTCTTTCCCTCAGCCAGGCAGTCTCCTCAGGCTGCTGACATCACAAAGGTGTCAACTGGCAACCTCATTGTCATGTGGCTCTCCCCTGGCTCCCCTTCACTTCCAACACAGGGAAAGGGTGAGTCCTTTCAAAGCTGCCAAATGGGCCAGCTTCCAGCAGCAGTCTGGGAGTGAGCAATCAGCAGAGCCACCAAGCCTGGCGGCGGGGCATTGGGCCTCGCGTTTCAACTTCTGTTCGGTTCTCCTGTAATGGAAAATTGCTTTGCACAAAGCTAGAGTGCTACAGTTCTTTCCAGCTCCCCTCCCCCACCCTGCCCCCTCGCCAGCCTTCTGATCAGAGGGACAGTGCCCGCAGGAAGGTGGCAGGAGGGTAGTCGCGGCTTCTTACTATGTCCCTTGCTTCAGGCCCTGGACCCGGGTGGTTACTCTTTTCCTTTGGAATGGGGCTGGTATCAGGGTCAAAGTGTCCACATAACTGTGTGTGTCAAACCCAAGAAGTGATCTGCACAGGAAGGCAGTTAACTGCATACCCCACTGACATACCCCTGAACACTCGGAGGCTGTTCTTGGACAATAACAGAATCACCTATTTGCCAGCCATGAATCTAGGTCTCCTCAGTGACCTTGTTTACTTGGACTGTAAGAACAACCTGATTCGTGAGGTGATGGATTATACCTTCGTCGGCATCTTCAAACTCATCTACCTTGATCTCAGCTTCAACAACCTAACATTGATCTCCCCATACAGTTTCTCCGTGCTCAGCAACCTGGTGCAGCTGAACATCTCCAACAACCCTCACCTGTCATTTCTTCACAAGTACACCTTTGCAAACACCACCTCTTTAAGGCACCTGGACCTCAGAAACACTGGCTTGCAGATCCTGGACCAGGATGCCTTCCATCACCTGATAACGCTAAGGACCCTGTATCTGAGTGGAAATCCTTGGAATTGCAACTGCTCTTTCCTGGACTTCACCATCTACTTAATAGTGTCCCATCTGGACCACCCAGGTGAGGGCTTGATTGGGTGTGGGGAAGAGGATGTGATGGAGCAGGAGGAATTGGTTTCAGAAAAGGAGAAGTCAAAAGATGGGTCAGGATAGGAGAAAAATCTGGATTCAGTTGATTGAAAACATTTGTGTTACTCTCCATGGGCCCATCTTTGGGTTTGGATGGGGAGGCAATAAGGCTTGGCAAAAAGAGCCCTGGAATAGGAATGCAAAGGGCTGAATTCTGGTCCCAACTTACTAGTTGGCTCCCCTTGGAAAAGCCACATTTTCTCTGAACCTGTTTCTAGATCCATAAAGTGGGAATAATAACATTACCTAACATAAAGAGTTGTGTCAACTAAAATGTGTGTAGAAATGGTAAAGTATTATAATTGCAAAATAACAAAGTAATAGAGGGACACTGTATTTCATTGGTAGACTGTTAATCTGCTTAATTCAGTGACTGAATTTTTCAGGGGTCTAAAAATAACTTCAGTCATTCATAGTCTGTAGAGTGTCTAATAGTCATATGGTGTACAGAGGGAAAAGTTCAATAGGGATTAAAAGAGGGGCAATGAGCTCCCTGGACAATGAAAAGAAGAGAAGAAGGGAAAGGAAAAGCCTTTGATATTTGCTTTATTTGCATGACTCTAAGGTCATTAAGAGGAGCCCTGGTGGCATAGTAGTTAAAGCTCTTGGCTGCTAACCAAAAGCGTAGCATTTCCAACCTACCAGCCACTCCAGGGAGAAATGTGTGGCAGTCTGCTTCTATAAAGATTTAAGCCTTGGAAACCCTACGGGGAAGTTCTACACTGTCCTGTAGGGTCGCTGTGAGTTGGAATTGACTCAATGGCAGTAGGTAAGCACATAAGGAAGGAGAGAATGGTATGAATCTGTGGAGAATGGGTCAATAATGAGTATTCATTATGTAAGGCAGGGAGAGTCCAGTCTTACAGGCATATTCCCAAATCTTACCTGGCACATTTCCAAGCCAGTTGCTGCCATTGTCCCCAACATCTCTGTCATGGTTCCTGGGCCACCCTAGTACCTCTTTCCTCTTTTCGAGGACATGCCTGCCTATCTACATCCTTTGATTCTCCCACTTCCACCAATAGCACCTTCCACCCAGGGAAATCGGAGCTTTACAGAATAAATGACTCCACATATAAGGCTGAAGCCACTGATGTATTCTGGTAAAATTAACTTGGATAGAAAATCAAACCCTTTCAAAAACATGTCTTCTCTCCCTTCCCTGAGTATTTGTCTTTGAAAATGTTTCCACAGATCCAGCTTCACAAAAGTTCCACTAAAGCTTATACCATGAAGTCCTATCCATGTGGGAATATCCTAGGAAGATTCTTGGTCAAAATGACAGTATTAGGGGGAAACTTGAGGGAAGAGAGCTGACTGATGACAGCAAGTACAACTGTGCTCTCCTGGCTTCCCCAGTGGGCATGTCACTTAAAATGTCTACCATACAGTTCTGGACTAGTGTAAGGCAAATAAGGCACCTAGGATGCGTAATTTAAGGAGGCACTGAGAGTGAGTGCCTCCTTAAATTTTGTGCCCTAAGCACCTGGCTCTGCTGCCAGGTATTTCAATGTAGAATTGTTAAAATAAATCAAAAGAAACTAACCTTTTCAGACTATCTTCCTCACAGTAAAAATCTCAAAAGAATACAGAGACAGTTTCCTTGGGTAGGTTGGCTTGCTTCTCTATATTACTTTCTCTAAAGGACAAAAACATCTTCCACTTTTTTTAATGACTATTGCTGTGATACTTTGAATGTAGAAAACTGTTCTAAAGAGAAATAAGAGAGAAAAAGGCTAAATATGAATCCTCCTTATGCATTAAATGTTATTCCTCAAAGGGATTCTCCCCTAACTGCTGATACTATTGTAAGAGCATCGTCCTCTCCTGTCCTTGCACCACCACACATGCACATTTCCATAAGCAGAGCCCATCAGGTTGCCAGGGGACCTCCTGTCCTACTGAAGTGAGTGAGGTAATATGGCTTCTATTTCAGCCCCTATGCCTACCACTTAACCTTCCATCAATTCTATCCTTAATCAAATTCCTGTGCCTTCTGAGAATTTTCAGGGTGACTACCTTGGAGACTCTTTAATTCATTCCAGGACTGAATAGGATTATAAACTAGAGCTGTTTCATTGTATACTTTTATTTTTATTTTTTACTCATAGTTACCCCTGTTGGGTTTCTGAGGAGGTGAATTTTTTTTTTTTTTTTAATTGTGCTTTGGGTGCAAATTTACATAGCAAACTTGTTTTCCATTCAACAGTTAATGCACATCTGATTTCACAGCCCAATTACTGTCCCCAACAGTGAAAAAGACTCTCTTCCCCTCTCCCTGCTGGGATCACCTCCTCCCTGCGTCCTTCTCATCTATACATTCCTATCTGTCCAGCTTTCCCTCTATGTGAGTGCTGTGTCTCTGGAATCGCATGCTGATTGATCAATGGGGTGCATCTCCCTAGACTAGGTGGGTACATCAACCTGGGGTAGGTGTTCTGTATCTAGGTCTTTCTACTGCTGGGCTGAGAGCCAAGCCATGTAAATGAGTCCAATTCTAGGCCTGAAGGATAACCTGGGGCCATAGTCTTGGGGGTTCCACCAATCTCTCTGTGACCAGCAATTCTGGTCATGTTTGTGTTTTTTAATTTTGTTCCACATTTTTCCTCCCACTCTATCCAGGATCTCCAGATTTGATCCCTTTCTGAGCAGTTGGCATTGGTAGCCAGGCACCAGCTAGTTCTTCTGGTCTCAGGTCATGGAGGCTGAGGTCCTTGTGGTCCTTATTTTTGGAGTAATTGTTTCCGGGTGACTTTGATCTTCTTCACTCTTCTTTGCTCCAGATGAGAGGAGACCAATTGTTGCATCTCAGATGGCTCAAAACCTTTTAAGACCTCAGTTGCTACTCATCAACTTGTAAAACAAAATTTTTATGAACTATGTTGGCCAATTGAGCATGATGTCCCCTGAGACTATGATCCAGAGCCTCCAGGCCTGGTGATTCTGAGAGAATCATCATTGCATACTTTTAATGACAAACTGACGGTGACAACGTCTGTCTTGTCAATCTCATAAACTCCTCATGAATAAAAAGTCCTTCTTTTGGGGTACAAAAAGCTTTCATCCACTGGTCAATAGGAGCTCCTCATACCTACAACTGCTAATCTGCCAATCTTCCTCTGTATGGTGGCCCAGAGGAACTCCCAGGCTACTTCATGCAGAAATATGGTCTCTTTGCTCCAGATTTCTACTATTATCTATTAAAAGTGAGAGTTAGCCATGGTCAGACATAAGAATAATTTATATTTGAATAGAGCTTTGCAGGTGGTTAAGTGTTTTCACCCATGGTGTGTCATTTTATTTACTGTGAGTATCATGCCAACAATTACATTTTGACCCTAGGCCTGAATAAGTCTCAGATTGGTATGTTTAACCTCATCCATCTTCTTAAGAAAGGAGTCTGAGATATGCCCAAAATCACACAGCTAGTAAATGGCACTAAAATGATTTGAACTTCCTGTTTACAGATTCAGTTCATTTTCCATAAGACTACACCATCTCTTAGAGATAATCTCTCAAACCATCTCTTAAAGATAATCACATGATTATCTTTAAAGTCAGTTTTGTTATAAACATAAGTCATGTTATAAGTGTACAGCTATAGCATCTACACTTCAACTTTATTTCCTATCTGGCTGCCATTTGGAATTCACCCAAGATTATTTCCATTGGATAATAAGCCCTAAACATCATGAACTCATTATGATACGCCTGCACTTCCCTTGCAGACCCAGGTCTCATTCTAATCTGCCCAAACTCTAAAAGGATGATTCCAGCTGTTTCTCCATTACTGTATACACACGTATAAACACTCACGCAAACAAACACACATACACACATATGTATGAGCACACACAGAAATAAATACAAAGCCATCCCCACACAGTCTCACACATACATATACATCTACTTACATATATACCTGTCCACATATTTACACATGCATAAATACACATAACACTATACACACATAAACAAACACACAAGGACACATGCACACATGCACATATACTCATATACACATAACGGTGAACACACACACACACACAATAAAATTCATTATATGCTTCTCTTCCCTCTTAGCGAGATCTCATCATAAGAGAATATATTTATTTCATGTGATTCTCATGTGATGATTCATAGTCTTTGTTGGGTGACTTGATTATTGACAAACCTTCTTAGTGAACTCTTTTGTCTTAAGCCTATCTATTTATGTTGCATTTACACTCAAAATGGTGGTCTTTGTTATGTTCTAGGATGTGGTTAACAGATCTTTCCTCACGTGCCCACATTTCAGGATACAGGAAGAATTTCTGTGAAATAAGCTGAGTAACCTAGTTGGTTATAAAGAAGAATCCAGTTTAAAAATAGGTTCATTTTAGACCAGGAAGTACTAGACCTTAGTATTGGGAAAGTTTACCTGTGGTGCAATATGGAAGTCGATATTACAGTTGGACTCCAGTATATATCTCTTTAAAAATGAGGCAAGAAAGTAAGGGACTTCCATGCTACCCCTCAGTTTATCTATTCATTAATTTAAATATTTATTGAGCACCTGCTATGTGCCAAACAAGTGCTCATGGAGGAATTAACCAAGAAGCGTGGATCTATGTAAGAAAATTCACATGATTCTAGGTCATCTGTACTGTACATGTCCAATGGTCTGGTCAGAATCAGAAGATCTAATGCCCTAATATGGGGCAGGACAAAAGAGGACAGGATGGACATATTGGAGTAAAGCAAGTAGTTGGCACAGCCCCAGCTACAGGAGATGAAGGACAGCTACCATACAGGCAGTGGAGCCCAGTATAAAGAATTCAGGTTCTGCAGTGAAACAGATCTGAATTATAATTCTAGCTCTCCCATTTATTATCTGTAGAATATCAGACATGTTACTTAGCTTCCCTTCAATTTCCTTGTCATTAAAGCAGG